AAAAAATGTTAAAACAATACAAATACAAAGCTTTTATATTACATAAAATGTAAAGTGTTAAAGTATCAGAGGTGTACAATTCATAATAGTGAATCATGCATACAAGTAATATATGGACTGAGTAGGTTATATTTAGGAAAATGTACACACACATATATATATACATATACACATATGTGAATGTTATAAAAATGATAAAAGAGGCCATGGATTTAAAGGAGAGAGGGAAGGGGTATATGTAAGGGTTTGGAGAGAGGAATGAGAAGGGAGAGATGCTATATTATAATCTCAAAATTAAAATTCACTTTTTTTTTTCAAGACAAGGTTTTTCTGTGTAACTTGCTTTGTATACCATGCTGTCCTCAGACTCAGAGATCTGCCTGCCTGTGCCTCCCGAGTGCTGTACACTAACATGCCTGGTTTTCTACCATTAAAAAAAAAAAAACAGTGGCCGGGCGGTGGTGGTGCATGCCTTTAATCCCAGCACTCGGGAGGCAGAGGCAGGCAGATCTTTGTTGAGTTTGAGGCCAGCCTGGTCTACAGAGCAAGATCCAGGAAAGGCGCAAAGCTACACAGAGAAACCCTGTCTGGAAAAACCAAAAAAACAAAACAAAACAAAACAAAAAAACCAACAGTGACACATTTTAATGAGAACCATGGGTCAAAAATAAGTGTTAGCATCCCCAAACCCCTCTTTCCTCCTCCAGAGCTCTTCCCATCCTCCCTTTCAGAGGTTCCATATCCACTATCCTGACTTCTAACCCTGAACAATTTTGCTGTCTTTTGAAAGTTATTGGTCCCCTTTTGGTGAATAATAAGAATAAGCAACTTTGTGTCTCTTTAGACCTTTTTTGTTAGTAAATTTTGTTCTTCTTAAGTTTTATACATGTACACTGTTTTCTGGTTATTCTCTCTCTTATCTTCTCCCATGTCTCTCCCACCTCTACCAGACCCACCCTGTCTCTTTTCCCTATTCACTCACTTTGGTTTTGTTTAGCATTCTCTAGAGTTTAATCAGAACCATCTGTGTGACCAAGAGTTGGAACCAAACATCAGAATTTGGTCTGATGGCCAGTGGGCACACAGGTGGATACCATGCCTCCCTTAATGCCAGAATCCGTTGGTTGTCAGCACAGTAACCCGTAGCCCTGTGAACCCTCCCTCTCTGTAGCTGACTGTCCAGAGGGGCCGGTACACACAGCCAGCTGCTGTGAGTGTGTGGTTGTCATATCTGTGTTGGACTTTTACAGCCTCTCTCTCCGCCCTCTGACTTTACCTTCTTTTCACCCCTTCTTCAGAGAACAGTCTCATCAGCAAGTCTGACATTTACTGTGAAGCTTTCATACGTTTATTCATGTTAAAGGCTTTTGAACTATCATAATGGTTACATTTTATGTATTTTGCATTCATCAAGATTATATGTTTTTTGTTTGCTAATACACTAATTCTATCAACTGATTCTATCTTTACATTTATAGAATAAACACAAATGGCTACAATATATTAATCTTTTATTGATGACCAAATTCAGGGTGCCAATGGCTATGTCAACATCTATTTATTTAACTGTTGGTTGACATTTAGTTAGTTTTCTATTTGTAGCTGTTACTAACAAGTATACTATAAGGAAGTGTTCTGACATATCTCTCGGTTGTGAGCATGTGCATATGCATTCATACATACATATGTTCATATACACCCATTAACTGTACTTCTGCTGAGTTCAGTACATTGGTTTATCTTATTTAGGATTATTACATCTGTGCTTATGAATAAGCTTATCCTAGTATTTTATTATGTCTTGCTACTACATTTGCTTTTATTCTGTTTAATTGATATATTCTAAAGATTAATTTAAAATTTTTATTTATATTATTGGTGTGTGTGTATGTCTGTGTATGTGTGTGTATATGTGTGTATGTGTATGTATGTGCATGTAATCCATTCTTTCACCTTTGTGTGGATTCTAGTGATTGAACTTATTGGCCACATTTGCTCACTCTCACAGTAAATATGGACAAATACAGTGAGTAATAACCACACTATACTCTGGAAAAAATTTGAAGACAGTGTAACATTCAGTCAACAAATTAGTTCACTACTTAATTTTTAAAAATATTTATTTAATTGTATGTGTGTGAGTGTCCGCATGTATCTCTGTGTGCCATGCATATGCCTGGTGCCCACAGAGGCCAGAAAAGGATGCTGTATCCCCTGGAACTATAGTTATAGATCATTGTGAGCCATTATGTGAGTTCTGGGAACCAAAGCTGGGTCTTCTGCAAGAGCAACAAGTACTTTGAACTGCTGAGCCATCTTTCCAGCCCCTACTCCACCACATTTGAGTTTGGTCTCAGTTAAGTTTTCTGGACATGAGCGTGTGAAACTGGATTCTTTCCCAGACTGTGGCACAATGGATTCTGGTCTAGTTCCTGACAGAGCCCTGTTTCTGTCTGAAGACCCATGGTCGCAGTTTTACAATATGCTTCCCCATTGGTATTTTGGTCTGTCAAGTTCTCATCAGAATGGCCTCTTAAGCTTTGCATATGGATATTTGAGGGCTCCTTTAGCCTGCAGCTCTCCATGCTCTTCTATACTCTTCTAATAAATTTGTTCCAAAGGACTGTGACTGCTATGGTCCAGGCATCACTTCTCTGTAGCAATTTTCTGGATAGCTTTTCTCATTGCTGTGGTCAAATTCTTGAGAAAAAACAACTAAGAGAAAGAAAGGTTTATTTCAGAACATGGCAGAAAGAATGACCCTCTGCTGTGGTGGCGTGAGCATGAGGCTGCTTGATCATATTTGGGAGGATCAGGATGAAGAGGGAGGACAAGAAACAAAGATAAACGATAGACCTCAAGGTCCACTCTCAGTGACCCACTTTCTTCAGCTGGACAGTCCTCAAAAGCTCCACAATCTTCCAAAACAGTGCTACCAGCTGTGGACACATGTTTAGACACATGAGCTGCAGCAGGAGCTATTTTAGAGTTTATGCACTACTCTATTCTCCCCTCACCTTCTCTCTTTTTTAATCCTTTTTTCCTTTTATTGAAAATCGATTTTCCCCCTCTCAATATATTGTGATTACGGTTTCATCTCCCTCTACTCCTTCCAGTCCTTCCCCCTTCCCTTCCTATCCAGATCCACTGCCTTCCTGTCTCATTAGAAAATGGGCTTCTAAGGGATAATATTAAAACAGTGAAATAAAAGAAAAGAAAACAAACAAACAAACAACAAAAGCCATGTCAGAATGGGCTGAGAGAAACAGAAGGAAAGGAGCCCAAAAGAAGGCACAAGAAACAGAGACCTACTCATTTGCACACCCAGGAATCCCATAAAAATATTAAACTGGAAGCCATAATATTATATGCAAAGGACCTGGTGCAGAACCATGTAGACCCTGTGCAAGTTCATATGTGTGTTGGTCTTGTTGATATAGGGGGCCATGTTTTCTTGGTGTCCTCCATCCCCTCTGGCTCTTACATTCTTTATGCTTCCTCTTCCATAGGGTTCCCTGAACCTGTGGGGAAGGATTTGATGGAAGCATCCCAGTTAGTGATGAGTGTTCCAAAGTCTCTCACTCTGCATAATATCTGGCTGTGGGTCTTTGTATTTGTTCCTGTTTGCTGCAGGAGGAAGCCGCTCTGATGAGGGCCAAGCAAGGCACTGATCTATGAGTATAGCAGAATGTTATTAGGAGTCATTTTATTGATACATTTTTGTTTGTTTGTTGCTATTGACTTAACATCTGTACAGACTCTGCAGTATTAAAGGGCACAGGCTTTGGAATGGCAAGGATGTTTTGTTTCCCTTGGACTCAATAGCTATTTGTTGATTATCTGCTTCAGATACATGAAAACAGGTTTACATTCTGTTTCTAGCATCTCCTGTGGAAAGTTGTTTCTTATTTGGGTAAGTGTTCTAGACCTTAACCTAGAAATGTGGAGAAAGACAGTCTCTGATCATCTGAGGTATCAGTCCTGACTAGATACTGTTACTTAGGAACAAGAGTTCTGGGTCTCGGGAAAAGGAGAAGGCTTCTCAGGGGTTAATATGAGAAATGTGGCCCAGGCATCATGCCTTTATTCCAGGACTTTTGAGGCAGAGTCAGGCGGATCACTGTGAGCTCAAGGACAGCCAGGGCTATGTACAAAGGCTCTGTCTCAGAGAGAGTGGGGGAGACAGAGATCTATTTTCTGTCAATGCCTATCTGACTCAAGCTTCAAGAAAATGGACAGAGTTAATCAGTGCCATGTGAGCTCCACTTGTTCAAGCCATTATCCCTAAGGGTTTTGAAATGTTGTGGTACCCACAGAACTAAATTTGACCAAAGGGTGACCTCTGCTGTGAGGATGGTGGACTTTCTACCTCTTATGGAGCAGCTTCAACATTGGGGTGGGACAGAGGCACTCAGGAGGAGGATTACGGCTCTACTACTTGGGGAATTTAAAACGTGTTCAATGTAATACCTCTGATTGCTTCTGAAAGAAGAGCTTTTGTGTGTTCTCACCAAGCGCAGGTGATTAGAATCAAATTCTAGTTTTAGAACTGGACCTTGCCTTGAAACACTCTATTCCTGGGTGCAGAGTTATGTACAGATTTCTATGACCAGTTATTTATGTTCGGCAATATTCAGAAAACTTTTCTTTAAAACTTTGTGGTGCGTGTAAGATGCATCAAGCCACTGGTGCAGCTTTGTTTACCTCTCCCCGTTCTCTTTGTTATAGTTGTTGTGTCAGATGCATCAAGCCACTGGTGCAGCTTTGTTTACCTCTCCCCGTTCTCTTTGTTACAGTTGTTGTGTAAAATGCATCAAGCCACTGGTGCAGCTTTGTTTACCTCTCCCCGTTCTCTTTGTTACAGTTGTTGTGTAAGATGCATCAAGCCACTGGTGCAGCTTTGTTTACCTCTCCCCGTTCTCTTTGTTACAGTTGTTGTGTAAGATGCATCAAGCCACTGGTGCAGCTTTGTTTACCTCTCCCCGTTCTCTTTGTTACAGTTGTTGTCAGATGCATCACAGCCCCTGGAAAGCCAGAACTTTTCTCCAGTGGTTCGCGATGTAAGTTATGAGACTTCTTCCCGAGAATGTACCTTTCCCCACCGTCCTTCATTCTCCTCTTGGCTGAGTGTATTCTTTCTCCTCTCTCCCCCACCCTTCTCTCTTCTGTCTCCCCCCTCTCAATTCTCTTCTCCCTCCCTCTCCCGCATCGCTCTTACTTTGTCTCTTCTGTCAGCCATGTGTCCATATTTCTAGGACTAAAATGTTGGATACTAAAGAAATGTCTTGTATATACACATCTAGGCAGTGATTACATCTAATGGTTCATTGACTGACAAATACAAATATATCCAGAAACTCCGAGAAAGCAGGTAGGTACTGTTAAAAATCTCCTTGTATTATACATTTACTCTTTCTTGGGTTAGATGAGTGTGCTTAAAAGTTTCAATGATAGTTATTAATACTAGAATTATATAACATGTGAATTTTGGTAATGTTAGAAATCTGAAGTAAGCAACTGGCTGAAACCAATGTGAGTTCTTTTTCTTGGAAGAGCAGTGTGTTGTCCTCACAGCCATTAAAATCTAGCAGGGTCTGGTCTGTAAATGAGGAGGAGTAGAATGGTGTGCTTCGTGTTTTCTCTTCAGTTTTCGCATAGTGATTTCTAAACTATTTTTTTCCAAAGGAAATGAACATATTAACCCTTTCTGTGGTACTGTCTACTTGGGTTTTGTTGAAAGTTTGGACTTTCTTTTGTTCAGTAGAATGGTTGGCAAAGTGGGATCCTGAATAGAAACTAATAGAGATAGTGACGTAGGCAAATGGGAGGAGGAGGGTGCCCAAAGCAGCCCAGGAATCTACCGGAGGGCTCAGCCAGTGCTCTGCTTCTTTAACTGACACTCCTGTTCAGAGTCAGGAAACACTGATGTTTCTCTGAAACATTCTTGTTTCCCCCACAGGCTGCACTTGATCTCATCTACTTTGCTGGTCTTTTCACATTTTACAAAATAACACACAGACTGAATTCCTGGGAGAAACCCCAGAGGGAAAACATAAACACAAAAGCACAGCTACCTTGCCTGCTTTTCAGTGGTTCCTGCTGCAGGAAATAAAGAGATGTGCTAGGATCAGGTCCCCCCACCCCCATACATGTGCCTCTCTTGTATGTGTTAGTTTTCTTAGAACTGCTGCATTTAATGTGGCAATGGCTTCTTCTGGCATAAAACGCTGAGTATTTTTCTTCCTAAAATCAAACTACTTCTATAGTTCTGTAGGAGTTTCTTATAGGGGAAGCTTCGTATTTGCTTGTTATTCATAATTCTGTTCATTCTTGTGACCTGATGATTTCTTACTGGTATAGCAATGCTGTGTCAACCAGCCAGGCATTCCTTTAGTCTGTGTACCATATTTCCTGGGGCAGCTGGTCTGACAGGCTGCACTTGCTGCAACTTTCTACTTCCACTTCTTATGCCAGGAATCTGATAATGGAAATCTTACCTTGAAAGGGAATTTGTTTTGAATGCTAACTTATTCTTACGTTCTTTTCATTGCTTAGTTTAGTGATTAGTAACTTGGAATTTGGAGTGTATGGGTATTGTTGATGTAGAATCTGAGTGGATTTTTTAAAAACATATTTTGAACATTTTATATTTGTGCATCAAAATGTTTCGTTTATACCAATCATATAAGGCACTACTGGAAAGAATATCTAATGAACAGATAATGATGATTCTTTTAGATGTTGAATGGGGTGAGTGTAGTGGTTACAAGAAATTGTATCAGTAATATGTGTGTGTTGCTGTGTGAAGAGGAGTGGGAACATTTCATATTCATATTTATTTACTTACTATAAATGAAAAGGTTGGCAGATTGCAGTGTGAGAATATCCTAAAGATCCCAACATCCAAGCTTGCTGTTAAGACCCTGGAACCAGACCATGCCCACGGTTTCATGATGGCATCTGGAAATCTGATTCAAAAACGATTGATAATTACTCCCACATTAAAAACAAAATGAAGTGAACAGTATTGGATTGTAGTTGAGTAAGACTCCATTGCTACTGTGGAGGTCACAGTTTGTCAAAAAGTACAACTTCTAACAGAATAAATGGTTCAAGAATTCAAATCTTTTCTAGTCTTGATGTCTTACATCGGCCTAAAGATACATGACAAAACAGGTTTTGATGCAGGTAACAGTGATGGACTGTTCAGGTTGTTGTTTCCTTGGACTGCTGTGAGGAGGAAAGGAGGTTCCCAGCATTCAGGCTCAACAGAGTTTTGGATAAAAAAAGTCTGGGAGGATAAAATGTGAAACAAGTTACTCAGTTGTAAGTAAGCAGAGAACAAAAGAATCCAGTCCTCATTTCAGTCCTAGGAATTTGTAGATGTTGATAGGCATTGGGCATCTCAGATGCCGGGGTCTATCGTACAAGATCAAAAACAAATGTTGCAAAGCGTTGGCCTAAGGCATTTCCGTTGACATTCTTACTATAAGTAACGCAGGGAGATTTTGTGGTCTCATCATCTAGGTTTGCAGTTGGTTTGGGGCTAGCAAGCTTCTGTTATTTAAAAGAAATAAAATTTAATTATTCCCGCCCTTTTTCTTTATAAACAGAGAACGTGTTCAGTCCCTTTCAATGAGTCCCAAGAAGAAGGTGTTGGTGCTTGGGTCTGGCTATGTATCTGGGCCTGTTTTAGAATATCTGTCAAGAGACAACAATATAGAAATAACAGTAGGTAAATAGGTCTTCATTTCTTTAAAAAAGAAGAAGGAAACTGTTTTCATTGCATGTTGAATCTGAATTATAGTTGATTTTTATGTCCAAGTTTTGAAAAGCTGTTTTGTGGGGGTATGAAAATGTGTCTAGTGGGAGGAAATCTAAGAAATGGACTTTTGCATTCTTGAAATAGGCTCTGACATGGTGAACCAAATGCAACAGTTAAGCAAGAAATACAATATTAACCCTGTTAGTGTGAACGTTGCTAAACAAGAAGAGAAGCTGCAATCCTTGGTAGCGTCTCAGGATCTTGTTATCAGGTATTGGGCAAGAGAAAGTCCCCTGTGTGCTTGTTTTTATCTTCTCTTAGTCTCTCTCTCTTTCCCCCTTTCCCTTCCCTCTTCTGTCTTTTCCTTTCTCATAAACAGTTAATTGAAGGACATATGTATGAAAGTATAAAAAGTATAACTTCAGCTTGGTGTGATGGTACATTCCTATATGACCAGCATTTCTTTGCTTTTGCTTGTTTGAAGCTAAGGATTGAAAGTTTGAGGCCAACTTGTGCTAATTAATAATATTCTTACCCCCTCTCTTTCTTGTCTCTTTCTCCCTCTCTCTCATACTCATACACACACACATGCACACACACATACACACATGGATAAAAAACCAAGTATGTTGTTCAATGAGAATCTATACTGTTAACACATTTTATAACCACTATTCACATCAAGAAACAATATTGATAAATTGCCACAAGCCATCTTATTAACCTTTTGTTGTTGTTGTTGGCTCTATCCCATAGAGTAAACACTGTTACTCTAACATCTAGATTAGTTTTTGTATGTTTTCAAAGTTTGTATAGTTGGATCATTCATTAAGTCCTTGTTTGTGACAGCATTCATTTATTTGATATTGTAATTATGAGAACTGGCTGTGTGAATATATCATTAGCAATATTGTGACTTTGATGGAATTTAATTGCTTTTGTTTTGGGCTGTTATGAACATGTTGCTGTACACACTTAGTATTTGTCTTTTGACAGGTATATGTACACTCTCAGTGTAGAAAACTAGAAATAAAATGTCTGGATCATGAGATATTTGTGATTTGCATGTGGTCCATGTATACATATATATATATATATGTAATAAATGACTATAAAAATTAAAAAGAAAAAATATGGAAAGGGTTAGTGAAGATCATTGTGTGGTAGACAGCAGGATGAATGTGTTCTGTAGTTCAGAAGACTTGGTCATTTCTGAGAGAATTGTTTAGTTGGGCAGTTTCTCAGGACTGAGCCGTAGTAACCGCTCAAGCATCCTGAAAGGAAAGGAGGGCTGGGGAGCAAAGCTTCTGAATCCCCTCTCCCTCTGTTTTAAGCTTGTTGCCTTATGTGTTGCATCCTGTTGTGGCCAAGGCATGCATCTCCAACAGAGTCAACATGATCACTGCGAGCTACATCACACCAGCCATGAAAGAACTGGAGAAGAGGTATGTCTCCACTTCCAGGAAGGTGTCTCCATGGCCCTGTTTCTCTTCTATGTCTGACTTTTTCGTTTTCTTCTTTTCTACCTGTGGCAGTGTGGATGACGCTGGCATCACAGTCATTGGTGAATTGGGATTAGATCCTGGTCTTGATCACATGTTGGCAATGGAAACAATTGATAAGGCCAAAGAGCTGGGAGCCACGGTGAGCCCAGTTCCGATGCAGAACTCCACTTAGGAAAGCAGTAAAGATCAGCTTCCTCAGTTGAGATGGGAGCTTCCTTTGCTTCTCATCAGTGATTTGTTGTACCACAGCTCATCCTTTGACTAGGAACCACAAAAACTGTGGTTCCTAGAGACACATCTGCAGAGTAAACATCAACTTGAGCCTTAGCAACTGAGTGTTAGAGAAACAGATGTTACTGTAATGTCTTTGTTTAATAAGATTTTTGCCTATGAGATCCATTCTTTGAAAAGGTTTTACATTTAAAAATGAGAAAAAAAATCTTTGGAATGTCAGTCTGTTGATTAATAAAGTATGTAGCTAGAGTTTTCCTGCCTGGCCCACAGTCAGGGCAAATCTCTCTCACCTGCCAGTCCCACAGCCGTCAGACCTGACCAAGTAAACACAGAGACTTGTATTGGTTTCAAACTGTATGGCCATGGCAGGCTTCTTGCTAACTGTTCTTTCAGCTTAAATTAATCCATTTTTATAAATCTATACCTTGCCACATGACTCGTGGCTTACCGGCATCTTAACATGCTGTTTCTCATCTTGGCGGCTGGCAGTGTCTCTCTGACTCAGCCTTCCACTTCCCAGCTTTATTCTCCTCCTTGTCCCGCCTACACTTCCTGCCTAGCCAATGGCCAATCAGTGTTTTAATTATTGACTAATCAGCAACACATTTGACATACAGAACATCCCACAGCACTTCCCCTCTTTTTTTTTAAAAAAAAAAAGGAAGGTTTTAACCTTAACAAAGTAAAATTACATATAATTTGGGAATTTGGGCGTAGCTTCTCTTACTACTTCCTGCTGGAGGGGGGCGCTGTATCTTATGGGGATACAAAGAAAATTTTAGGATCATGGAAAAGTCCATGAGGGTGTATCGTCTGAGCCAGTTGCCTTCAAACCATTCTGGATGTTGGATCATCTGGGCCATGGTGTCATCGGAGACCTTTCAGGGGGTCTTGGCTGGTCAAACCTGATGTATCTTAATCTGGAACAAATCCATAGCCTTTGGCTTTCTGTGGGAACAAAAGCAGAGTCTCCTTTCCAAAGTAACATATCCTTATATCCAAATTTTGAAGTCAAGGCACCTTTAAAATATACATTTTGGCATAACTCAACAGCTTTTACAATCAAATATTTTTCTGCAGTTAAAAGTCCCAAAGACAACACAATGCAGATTCTCTGTGTAATATCCATTTTTACGTGGCTTATTTTTTATACTACCTTTACTGTCTCTTTAAAGACTTTATTTTTTAAAACTATGTATTTATTTCTATAACTCTATATATCATCTTTTTTGTCTCTTTCAAGCCTACGTATCTTTTACACACATTGTAAACTATTACATCTGAATCTGTCTTATTGTGAATCTATTGCCTTAAACTGCAGCAGCTGTGGCTGCTGGATCCACCCACCTCAGCTTCCCAACATGGCCATGGTTTACCGCCAGCTCTGGGAGCTATCGGGGGTCTATGCTTTTAGCCAAGCAGCGTGTAGCCCAGAAACCTCCCCTTTTGCTTTGCACCAGCAAAGGCTAAATCCACTATGCAGCTCAAAGTGCCACATGCAAAGGCCTCATTCCCGCCATAGGCAGGTCGAGCACGCACGCTAGGAACCCACCAGTAGCTCAAACCAGCAGCTGCCGCTCATTTGAGAGAGACAATTAGGAACTGTTTTTAGCTCCGTTTTAGAATCTTTTCTCAGGTTTTTAGGTGGAAACTCTTGCCACCACGTTGGGCGCCATTTGTAGCTAGAGTTTTCCTGCCTGGCCCACAGTCAGGGCAAATCTCTCTCACCTGCCAGTCCCACAGCCGTCAGACCTGACCAAGTAAACACAGAGACTTGTATTGGTTTCAAACTGTATGGCCATGGCAGGCTTCTTGCTAACTGTTCTTTCAGCTTAAATTAATCCATTTTTATAAATCTATACCTTGCCACATGACTCGTGGCTTACCGGCATCTTAACATGCTGTTTCTCATCGTGGCGGCTGGCAGTGTCTCTCTGACTCAGCCTTCCACTTCCCAGCTTTATTCTCCTCCTTGTCCCGCCTACACTTCCTGCCTAGCCAATGGCCAATCAGTGTTTTAATTATTGACTAATCAGCAACACATTTGACATACAGAACATCCCACAGCAAAAGTATTTACATATGACAAAGAATTATTGTATATGTAGATATAGTCACTCAAATTGAGTGCTTTAATTTTTGGCACACACACACACACACACACACACACACACACATATATATATACATACATACATACATATATACATACATATGTATGTCTTTGAATATAAAAGTTGTAGGACCTAACCAAAAAAAGTTAGTAGTTGAATTTTAATTTATTTATTTTAAAGATTTGTTTTATTTTCATTTAGGCATATACATATGTATGTATATTCGCATGTATGTATACACATATATGTGGATGACCTCAAAGGTCAGAAGAGAGCATTGGAGTCTCTGAAGCTGGCTGGAGTTGCAGGAAATTGTCAGCTGCCCAGTGTGGGTGCTGGAAACCAAACTTGGTCCTCTGCAAGAGCAGCAAGCACTCTTAACCACTAGCCTGTCTCTCCAGCTCTAATAGTGGAGTTTTTAAATTAGCAAAATTTTAGTTATTATCTCTAGTGGAGCTTTATATATATTACATATATAATTCATATATTTTTCACATATATATTGTTTGTATGTATACATTTTTCATATATGTGTGTATAGTCTGTATTTGACTTTGAGGATGTATATTTGAAAGCCTCAATAACTTCAAAACATAAATGATGATAGCACATTCATGAGATTGATATCATTCACACTGATTAACAAATAAAATAATAATTCTCCTTAATATTATTGATTCTTCCTAATTTATTCCTTACTTATAGATTGAGTCTTATGTTTCCTACTGTGGTGGCCTTCCAGCCCCTGAATATTCAGACAATCCCTTGCGATATAAATTCAGCTGGAGTCCAGTGGGAGTCTTGATGAACATAATGCAGCCTGCTAGCTATCTGCTCAACGGAAAGGTAAAGGAGCGTCATGGAAGCCTGAGAGATAAACAGCTGCAGTGGTGGCTGGCGGGCCTCTGAACCCTTCCCCCATAGCAGTGTTGTGTGAAGGCAGCTGTTCTAGCTGCTCTCCCTTGTCTCCTCTGCTGTCTCCCAGTGTGTATGGTCCTGTTCCATTTAACAAGGTCATCTTGATTTTTTTCAACCAATCCTGTGTTCATTCTTCCTTCTTGGCTGCTTCTGAAATGTGGTTCTTATCTTATTTACGTACACAAATGCTGGTTATCTTTCAAGTAATTTCAGTTTGACACAAACTGAGTTAGACTTTGAAATAGGCACCAACGATTGTTATACTAACAGCCTGACATTCCTGATTTCAGAGAATTTGTGGCAACAAAGTGCCCCTTTGCATGTGGGTTTGGTGCATCAGAACGAAATTCATCTTTCTTCCCTGTATGCTATCCAACAGTGTTAGTATTACTTTCACTATTTTATAAAAATGAGATCAAGGCATGGAGAGGATGGCTAAGGCCATGCTCTGAGAGTCAACCCTGGTTTCAACTAACTACAATGCTATTAAAATTGCTTTTATGTTAATTTTTTATTATGTGTATAAGTGTGCATGTGCATCCATACCTCTGCGAGTCATGGTGTAACTCCAGAGGTTAAGAACAACTTGTGGGAACTGATTCTCTCCTACTAAGTAGGTTCAAACCCAGATCCTCAAGCTTGGTGCAAATGCCCTTACTAGCTGAGTCGTGTCATTAACTCCTCCAAAACCATTTCTTTTTATCAGATTCCTTTTTTTGCTAAGGGAGTCAGAACCTGGATTAAATAAGTATCATCCAAGGAACAATTTCCAAAAGTCTAATTTGTCACAGAACTACAGTCAAGAGTCCAATTGCCTAGCCTGTGTGCAGAGATGGAGGCTGGGAAGCGGAGTGTAATAGAAGAGGATGTGCTCATCCTTGAAGGAGTGGAAGGGGCCAGGCAGGCAGGAGAGCTGTCGTTCCTGACAGAACACGGATACGAGGAGGAAGTGGAGTGAGCCACACAACACAGCTGCAGTTAGAGAATCCAAGTGGCAGAGCAGGCATCGAAGCCACAGCTGGCCACCTCTGTGTTTGTGTTTCTAACTGCAAGGGAAGACTCACGCTTGGGAAGAAAATGTATCAGGACTGAGGGTTCTTTTGTGAATCATCTGTCCTAGGCACCTCCCTTACCTTGCTCTCCAGTCTCGGCCCTTCACGATAAGTCATGCATTCTGATCTATAGCAAAAAGATTTTTTTCTAATATTCATGTTATACATTTTCAGCTTATATGTGAATCTAAATATTTTTCAGGACTAAAGTTTTTTTCTTTAAATTTTGAATTTTATATTGATATGTGCATAAATGATATACAATGTAACACATTTATTTATGCAAGGATTATGTCAGTGTCATTAGCATAATGGTCACCTCAAACATTCATCTTTTTGTGTATTTGTGTGTGGTAAGGTCACTTGAAAATTCCCTTTCCAGATAATATTTAGGGAGAGAGGAATAAAATTACCATTAGCTATAAGGAAGGTGTTTATAGAATGAGTATAGTTAGCAGTCACATAGTTTATATTTGACAGAATTGCCTATGAAACAACATATGTGTTTCTATCAGCCTTGGTCACTTATGCCTGTGATATCATCATGACTCATAGATATGGCTACACATTGAATGAATCATAATGAAAGTTTGAAAAGTATGGATGCCTAAAACTCATTCCTGAAGATTTTAATTTGCTAGGCTTTGGCAAATTTTCAAAGCTCACCAAGTGATTTTTTTTTAACAAGCAGTGGAACTTGAGAATTTAGTAACTTAGTAAATGATTTAGTAACCAGAGGATCACAGCTGTGTCTAACACTGCTAAGCTAGTAAGGTATTTTAGGGGGATGCTTTAGAATGAGAAAGGCACTGCTGAACTCTGGGGCACATGCTGGCATCCTTCATAGTGTCTCCAGAAGCCAGGCAAGCATAAAGTTCCCCAGGCACCAGGCTCTGCTGTGTGATGGAGCACTGGCATTCCAACATGTCTTGAAGTCCTGTGAATCATGAAGGTTTGGGACAGAATCTGAGCCTGATGTTCCACCAATCATGCTTTCTTTTACATGCCTCAGCCTGTCTCCCTTCGTGTGTCTCCCTTTCACCTTTTGCAGTCTGTCTGGCTCATGTTTGGTACAGAGTAATATGCAAAGGCTGGAAAAATGTCTGCTCTCATTGACCATGATGTTTCTGTTCAGGAGGTCATATAAACGATGAGAAAGACAAAAATTAAAGAGGCAGTCGGTGACATATACCTTCAGGGTCTAGTGAGGCATCAACATCAGAAGCCTGGCTTTGTGCTCTAGCCCTGACATTACTGGCTCCTTGTCTGAAAACAAGGATGATAATAGCCACTTTGCTGCTTTCTTTTTTTCTTTGAGACAAGGGTTTAACTGTGTAATAGTTGTCCTGGAACTAGCTTTGTAGCCAGGCTGGCCTGGAGCTCACATAAATCAGCCTGCCTCTGCCTCCTGAGTACTGGGATTAAAGGTGTGTGGCCCTACTGTATCGCTCTTTGCAGTCTTCTTGTGGTGTGAGTTAGTGAAGCCGTGTCAATTGTGATCTGCCTAACAGCCGACTTATCGGCATCCCCCAAGCCTTTGGCAAATACTAGCTTTGGAAAGAACTCAGTGCTCCCGAGAGTTCAGGAAAAGCAACAAGTCATTTCTGACAGCCCAAGTTGTATTTGCTGAATTTGAAGTGTCTCCCCCCACGTCCCCCCCCCTTCCCACTGCCTTTTCATCCTGAACTTGCTTTCTAAAATGGAGGGCTTTCCTGCGTTTTTCTGACACTGGAGGATTTGAAGAGAAAAACACGATGCTTCTCTTTTCTCTACTAAAATGATACTTTTTCAAGGTCTTGTTCAGATCTCCTCTTGTAGAGTTTCCTAGCCATTCCAGCCTTTGTTCACTGTCCTTTTGTCTGAACTCAATCAGAGTGTCTGACACTTAGGTACTTGGATTGTCTGCGTCTAAAAATTTTCAGCGATTCATGTCTATAGCTCTGTTCCCCAATCTTTATCGATAAGCTTCTTAAAAACTGTCTCTCATGTTCTTGTCCTTTTGTCCCCTCTGCCACTGTCACCCTCAGCCACAAAGGAGGCCTTACAGAATTTACAGAACCATAATGATGAAGCCCTCCCTGCTTTGGGCTTAAAGTTGAAGCCCGGAACTTTTCTAGTAATTAGAAAGGAGCCTGTGAACTAGAGCATAGTGCCTTGTCCTATGTTCTTGTGAGTTCTAATCACTAGTACTGTTCTGACTCCTAGCAAATCTGACCACCTCCCGTGTGTCTGGAGGCAGTGACTAGTTTTCTCTTAGTTCCATCCCTTCATAGATGGTGGTACATTTCCCATGGAAAGTGGGAAATTCATATATGTGGGAAGCAAGCCCTTCCTCCTCTTTAGAAAATCAAGAGTTACTGATTGCTCCCTGTGCCCATCGCTACCCCAGCATGGCTTTTGGAGGATGCACTGTATAAGGATCCTAGATGCTATAGTGTTCCAATATCCTTTTGAAAATACTGATCTAGAAATAAGCAAAATGAAGATGTTCATGTGATACAGTAGAAATAATACAGGCAATGGGTCAGTTAGACAGGCACAAATCTGCTTCTGTGTGACTCACAACCTGTTTTTACTTCTGAAAATAATGTGTAATTACATGGATTAAAAGTAAGCACATAAAACACCAAAAGACTGATGGTCCCAAGTAAATGACAGCCTATGCATTTACTGTGCTAAGTTTCTTATTAGTTTAGTGGTTAATCCTAGTGATTCAAGGAGAAAGACCATTGACCCAAATCATCATGGCTAAATTAATTAAAGCAAGATTTGTTTATTCATGTACATAGGCTGCTTCCCTGGAAGGTGGGGTTGAAGAGGTCAGTATTAGACATGAGGAAGAGATGGTTTTTATAGCTCAGGGATAGTGGGTTTACAAACAGGGGATTTGTAGGGCAAAATAGGTTGGGTTACCGGAGCAGAGCATAAGCATAACAAGTTAGTCATAACAACCTTCTGAAACAAAGACATGATTGTAAGGTGGCCATAACAACAGGTAGTCATAACAACCTTTTGAAACAAAAGATTGCAAGATTGTAATAATTTTTTTTTAAACAAAAGCATGGTTGTCATTTCCAGGAACAGGCAGTACAGAGCTATTTGTAGTTAAGGTTAAAGATGGGGCATAGCCCAATCCTTGAGAAACAGAGGTTTAATCATAAACAGGATGAGCCTAGTTTGTCTTACTATAAGATGGCTTTCAAGCCCAAGATGGAGGCAGGCTGATTCATCACTTATTTTGAGTATTTGAGTATTTATTCTAAGATATAGGCCTGTGATTCTCATTGGTTAGGTGATGTATGTGTGTGAAAAAGAATTGGACTCAGAGAATCCTGATGTGCTATACTTCTGCTGGGGGTGGGTCTGGGGCACAAGCATTGTCTGAGCAGAGAGAAATGCATTTTCTATGCAAAGTGGATAGATGTATTTTAATGTCTCCACTGAAGTTCTTAATAGAATATTGAACTAGACAGGGCTTGTTTTGAACCCAGGACACTGGGATTGCCAGCTGCTTATCAAACGGTGAGAAGTGTTACAGTGCAGCCATCTTGATTTGTTCATTTTCTTTGCCAATTAAATAATGAACTGGCGGGAAAAATCTCATGTGCAATATGTAACAGCAGGGAAACTCTGAGATGCAGCAGACAGAAGCAGCTGGTGAAGAAAGGCTTTTAAGAGTGGTGAGAAACCACACACACAGAGCAAGGCACAGAAAAGAACCCTCTGCAAGGTGTGTGTGTGTGTGTGTGTGTGTGTGTGTGTAGAGGGAGCCTGGGAGTCCCAAATTCAGTTTCTCCTTAAGGAGAGGGGCTAATAGTGGGAAAAAAAGTTCACCAGGTTTTAAGCTTCCAGGCTTTTGTCTCAGGTCAGGAGGTTGATGAAGAAGCCAGCATCCTGGAGAGGAAGAAACCAGCCATCTTGGAAGTTCAAATCCTTATTACCTGGTTGTGACCCCTCTCCCTATCTGTCTGCTTCTGTTTAACTCTTAGTTCTTCATACCCACTGTTAATTTGGGATCAGGTCCATCGGCTGTTAATTTCTCTAAGTGAATCACTAGCAGCCAGTTTAAACTCTCTGATTTTATGAAACTTGCTGATTTATTTTAAGTTGGTAATTTTTTCTTCCTTTTTTTGCTTATTATATAGGGTCTTAGTATATAGTCTAGGCTGGCCTCGAACTTTTAGCAATTCTCCTGTCTCAGCGCTCCAAACTCTGGGATTATAGATTTTTATTACAATGCCTGGCAAGAGTTTTTCTTTAAAAATTATCCTGATCTTCAATTGAAGAAGCAGGACTTTAGAGTTGCTGTAGGTTTCAGAAGTAAGATGGGTACAGAGACCCAGGTTGTGGCTTCTTTATTAGGTTGTTTTTAAAACTAGAATTCTATTAGAAGAAGTTTAATACAGTCCAAAGAAGAGGCTCTGATCAAATTAAATGAGAAGCATTCTTCACATTCTTGGGATTCTTTCTGAGATTCTAGAAGGCATACTTACTGCAAGTGATCTTTTCAACTGAAAAGATCTCACTTCACCCGTCCTATATACACTGCAGCCCATTTTTTCCATGGGCCCTCGGAAGTGTATGAATTAGTTTCCACTGTCTCTCTTATGCTTTAATATAGATGAGCTCATCCAGAAATGTATTCTGGGCACCATTGCCTTTAGCCCAGTTTCCTTTGGGAAAATCCCTGTGAACCCTGGCAACTATCTCCTGCAGTCTTAGTTTGTGCAGCTTTAGAAATTCGGTCAAATTGTTTCCAGCAGGACAAAGTCCAGCTTGACAGCAGCCTCAGCCCTGATTTTATCATTCCAGAATGTTTTTCATTATCTCAAGGACAACCACAGACTTCAAGCTCTAAGAGGAAATGTAATACTTTAAAGTTAAACATGAAACAGTGTCTCCTCGCACTTTGAATGTATGGTGGGGAGGGGTACAAGGCTCTAGGGAATCAGGGCTTAGCTTCTCACCAGCGGGAAGGTGTATTTGAGCTTCATTGTGTAGTCTTGGCATTGTCTCTGTTATGAAGGGAGGTCTTCCTTCTGCTGCCTCTTCAACATGCGCTTCAAGTTTTGTGCAGTTGCTGATGATTGCCGAACATTCAGCAAAGGCTTTTCCAGTGAACAAAGAGTGAACAAAAGATGTGAATTGAATCCTATTCATTGTTTTCCTTGTTCTCGCTACAATGTGTGTCATCTCTGGCACATGCAGTAATGGGTATTCAATAAATGAGAGTTGGGAGAGTGAAACGTGCAAGACTAGTGCCTGGTGCATTCAGAGGAGATATGAGACTAAAGAAAGGAATATTGCCATTGCTGTCAGAGCATACAAGCCATTGAATGCATACTTGATGCTATTAGCTTACAAAAAAAGCAAATCAAAGCAAACAAACAAACAAAAAAGCCCTAATACAGCATAATACTATTTTAACCAGGGGCAAAAGCCAATTGAAAACAAGACTTTTGTTTAGAAAATAAAGTGTATTAGGATGTGAAAGTTCGGGGGAAAGTCTGGCAAGTTATTCCAAGAGGAACAGCTTGGCTAATAGCATGCTGAGTAGCAATCAGAGTTTCATTAATGTTTTTCAAAGCTCTGCTAGTTTTGTTTAATTAATTAGTAATAATTAATTAAACATTAATAATTAATGCAGATAAGCCCAGCTATTTTTCATTCTTCCTCAGGTTGTGAATGTGACAGGGGGAGTCTCTTTTCTCGACTCTGTCACATCCATGGATTACTTCCCAGGCCTGAATTTGGAAGGGTATCCTAACAGAGATAGTACACGATATGCTGAAATTTATGGGATTCCATCTGCCCACACGTTGTTGAGGGGTACACTGAGATATAAGGTAAGTGCTATATTTTAAAAACATTGCTAATTTTGATGTAAGTAGTGTATATGCTTATTTGTTTTCTAATAATTAGAATGAAAAACCAAGTTGGAGTTTATTTTTTCAGAAAATAAGTTAGTTATTAAGTTACTTGGCAATCTCATACTTTTGTATAATGCATTCTGGTTACTCTCTCCTAAACCTCTTTTCCCCCCACTCCCCACTTACCCACCCCTTTCCCTGTGTGTCCCTTCCCAAGGTTTATGACTTGGTTTTGTTGTATGACCTGTTTAGTTGAATCAGGGCTATTTGTCTGATCGTTGAAATGGTACTATCCCTTAAGAAGTCTGGCAGGGTTACCAGTGGGTACAAACTGAAGGTAGTGTCTCCCCCTTTTCTTGACTCTATCCATAGGAAATCATTAAGCAGTGAGGGACTGAGGTCCCTCCCTGAGTTCCTCCTCTACCCTTGCCTGGTTGTTACATATATACATTGTTACATACATACATATACACTGCCGTCATCCACAGTAGCTGAGAGTTCATAATGGCAGTGACTGTGTATTGTCTAGAATATGGTGCCTCTCTTCCCTCCTCCCTGTAGCCCTCCAGCTCTTGCAGTCTTTTTGCTCCTTCTTCTGCAATGTTCCATGGATGGTTTAAATGTCTTGTTTTGGGCTGAACACTCAACTGCTGCTTATTCTCTGCCCCTATGCAGCTAGGACATTCTGTTTCCAACACAGTTTACTGGTTAAAAAAAATCCTTTTATTAAATTGTTAGGAGACCCAACTCAAAATAACGAATTTATTGACTCTCTAGGGATAGGGAGCGAGTAGGAGGCCAGCTTTAGGTATACCTGGATTTGAGCACTTCATTTCTCGGTCTTGTAAGATGATAGTGGTCTCAGGTTCCCCGAAGTACCAAGTTGGTTCCAGCTTCCTGTTATGGTCTATTAGGTTCAAATCCATCGTGAGTAACTAACTGCTCCTTTTCCTAATAGCTAAACATATAAATTTTGTTTTGTTAGCTGTGATTTATTTTTGAGATCAGTGTCCTCTATGTTTCCACAGCTTATGATGAGGTTAGCATCATTCGAAACACATGGACTGAGTCTGGGAGAAGTGACAGGGTTAGATGGACTTCCTGAAAGCAGATCTGAAATTCTTTCTTAAACACAAAATAGAAACTTCAGTTGATCACACTTGAGATGTTATAAATATGTTCAAAATGAGAAAACCAGGTAAAGGAGTCCTAGCATGGCGTCCTTCCCCATATTCTATACATACCTAGCTCTTCACTGTAGAGTTCTCTGCTTTTAGGGGGATATGGATTATTGTTCTTTCCATCACCAGAAAGCAAAATAGACAGAAACTAAACTGATAGAGTGCTTTCCCAGCATGCACAAGGCCCTGGAACGGATCCTTAGCATGTAAAGAGAACACAAAGCAGTGTAATAAAGAAAAGATCAAAATCTGACTGTTCTATCAAATACTATTCTGTTAAACTGCATTATATAATTCACCAGGAATTTAGCCCGTATGCTGCCAGAACATACCATAAAACATAGTACTGAGAAAATGAAAAAGGGCCCATTTATAAAGTCTTTTATGTGAACCAGTTGAATTATGATACTGTTAATATATGAGCAATGAAGATTATTTCCAAATAAGTTATAAAGATAAAACATTCTTTAAAAAAAGCTTAATTGTTGTAAAGGTAGATCTTGCTTAAAAAAATAGCTAAAAATTCATTTGTCTTTTAAGGGAAAATAATTCATTTGCTGCTTATTAATTCTTCAGGGATATTCTAAAGCTTTGAATGGATTTGTAAAGTTGGGTCTCATCAACAGAGAAGCATATCCTGCCCTCCTACCTGAGTCCAACCCTCTCACCTGGGTGAGTAGCTCCAGAATTCTGTGCTCTCCGCTGCACACATGCCTTCTGAGATGACCCAGTTGATAAGTGTTGGATCCCCAGTCATTGGGCATCCTTTGCCAATGCAGTAAGCCAATCAAGCCAAATTAATAAGTCCAGGTCTAATAAACAGAGCAAAGCAACTCCCAGGTGACTCTTGGGAAGGCAGAAGAGGAATCATGTGGTGGGTCTGGCAGACCAGGTCTTAAATACTCTGTAGGCATGGTCTTGGGCAGCCCCAGGGGAGGAGCTGACCCTTGGCAGGCTTTCTAAGGGTCTGGGTCTGGAGAGAGCAGCTCCAGGGGAGAGGCACCCCTTGGCATGCTGAGGGTGTGGTTTGTAATCCCCCCCCACTGCAATACCAGTGAGACATAAGTTTTGCAGAAAACTAAAAACAAACAAACAAACAACAACAACAAAAAAACAAACCTCCAAAGCATCCTTTCTGTAGCTGATGTACAATGATGAGTCCTGAAAACATCTCCCCCTTCCACACTTGGGGAAGATGGAGAAATTGATGGGCTAATGTGCCTGGTCTGCTCCTGTATTCACTCCACAGGATCTTGCCCCTGACCCCTGGAAGGAGATGCCTTCACTCTTTGTTTTGGACTCTGGAATTTTCCAGTTGTATAGGTCATTTGGACCCACTGGGTGTGATATTTGGGAAGGTGCTGGTATGAATCTTGCCAGTCCTCTCATTGGGCCATGTATGATCATGAGTAATAAGTTTATTACTGAGTTTTAGGCATCTCTGTGTCATATCCTGGAGTCTTGGAGTTGGACTGGAATTTAGAAGTCATAGCTGAATGTCAAGTAGAGCTCCCACTAGTGGCTAGCATCTAAATACCAGCTGAGCAGGTAGGCTGGGAAGCAGTGTCCTCATTCTGGGTCTCCCAGGATGGTGTTAGTTATTGTATAGAACACAAACAACACTCTTGTTGCATAGCATCAGATTATAAACATTTTAGACTTTGTGGGCCAAGCAGTCTCTGCAGAGCAGTCTAGTACTGCCAAAGACAAGGCATAAACACGTGGGTAGGTACATCTTCCAGTGAACTCCTATTTCATAAAGCAGGCAATGAGCCACACTAGGCCTGGGAACCAGTTGGCTGACTTCTGATCTGGAGCCTAGCTTCCTTCCAGGACCCTGGAAAAAGTTTTGTTTAGAAAGAAGAAAAAAATCTATGGCCACTCTTTTAAGTGTTCTTTTGAAATTTGATTCCCTGTGAGGTCTTTTTCATCTATTGAAGTGACAAAAGAACTCTGGTTGCCATTGGCAACCACAGCAGTTAAGTCCCCTGTACTTTAACCTGCTCCAGATTGATGGCTACAGGGTGTGTGTGGAGTATGGGTGAAAACAGTGATGGAGAAGATACATGACCAGGAAGTGTTTTCGTGTTTCCCCTTTTTACCATTGACTTTTTATTGTTAAACATTGTTCTGGAATCCCAAGCATTTGTGATATATCGATATGCATGCATGCATATGTATATATTTATACACATATAATTTGTTTCAATTTCCTATTTTAATTTTTTTCTAACAAACTTGAGGTCCACTTGATGTCTGATGTCTTGATAGACTTATTTCTCAGATAATTGATGTTTTACTACTTAGGGGCTTAGACTCTCCATGTTTCTTTTTCCAATCAGAAACAGCTCCTGTGTGACCTAGTTGGAATTTCCCGCTCCTCTTCGTGTGAGAAGCTTAAGGAAGTTGTCTTTACAAAGCTGGGAGGGGACAGTACCCAGCTTGAGGCTGCTGAATGGTAAGGGCCCTTTTATTCATTTAGATCAAAACACATTGGACCAGTGATTAATGATGTAGTCCTTTCTGGCCAAAGAAAGGCTATGGCATACCACACACATATTTGTCTTTGATTAGTTAGCTGTTTATTAGCTAATTAATGCTCATTAGGTTGGCCTTAGAGAGATTATAATGTGTTATGTTTGTATTGGGATAAAAAAGTAGATAAGTGAAGAAATCTGATGGCAATTATGACCTGGAAAATGTTTATTCTGAAGCATCTTCTCACTCCGTTCCTGGATAAAGTGGGATTTCTCTGAGTATTCCCCTACTGACTGCAGAATATTCGTTCATGTGACTATGGAATATTATTCATACAAGTATACTTAATGTGAGACAAATAATCTGTAAATTAACTCTTAAAATGTCATAAAACATGAGCTTTTTTATACCCTTTTGCCCTGCTCTATGAAGCAGTGTCTCAGGGAATCTGGGGAGATTCTGAAGCTAAGGCGTTCCTATTATTACCATTTCCCAGTTTAAGTGAATCTTAGAACTTGTGAGTTAATGCCTAAGAGCCCAGGAGCTCTTTTCTACTCCCTAGAGAATATGCATAGGCTGTGAACTAACAGAGACACTTGTGCTTTTCAGGTTGGGCTTATTGGGGGATGAGCAGGTCCCTCAGGCAGAGTCTATTGTGGATGCATTCTCCAAGCACTTGGTCTCAAAACTCTCCTATGGTAGGTTATGGGTTTTCACTAAACATTGCTGAAGAAGAATCACAAGACAGTTTGGCCAAAGGATTGGTCTTGGGAGTGGCAGCCACGCAACAGAAAGGGAGAGATTTGAAAAGAGGGAAAGGGCACTGGGCTGAGGCAATAATAGAAAAATCATTAGGAAATAATCAGAAACTATGAGAAGGAAAAAAGAGTTTTGTATTTAATGTATTAGGTAAATACCAAAGCAATAGTTTTGGGAGCAAGTGTCCATCTTTCTTGTCACACCAACCATACTACTCGATACTGAGAAACGAATGTGGTCAAAGTTTTCATTTTTTTTTTTGAGGTTTTCACTGATCTTTGGGTAAAAAGCATCATAAATGGTTATCTAGAGATCATAGGTAATTGGATGGGAAACTTCAGAGAAGGGCAGAAAGATAAAATACAAATAATAGTTAAACTACAATGATGATTTAGAATGTTTGCATTTGTTTTAAGGCCCTGAAGAAAAAGATATGATTGTGATGAGAGACAGCTTTGGCATCAGGCATCCCTCTGGACATTTAGAAAATAAGATCATTGATCTTGTGGTTTATGGAGACTTCAATGGCTTTTCAGCAATGGCTAAAACTGTGGGGTTACCGACAGCCATGGCAGCTAAAATGTTGCTGGATGGTAAGTTCACTCTCATCAGGACTGGGTCTGTTTCCTCTTTACCTTCAAGTCAACCAGTGCCTAGACAGCAAAGAGTTTGCTTTATTGAACATGAGCAGTCTTGGAAGATACCTGGATGGGGGCCACACTACGGTGACAAGTGAGCATAGGCCCTGACATGAGACCAAATTTTCACCCAGCTCAGTCACAGGACCTCTGAATGATGGAACAGATATAGCTCAACATCTGTGGGCCAAGGTCTCCTCATATTGAAAGTGGAAAATCAGGCTTGTTTTGATGGTATCTTCAACCCCTCTGACTCTTAAAAATCCTCCCTTCTTGTTTCTAGTTTTAGGGAGTGGTCGCTCTGACTTAGCAGAAGGTGTTCATTTGTAGATCATCAGGGTTACAGACTGTGGTTTATTAATTTTCATATCTTAGCATCTTATACACACTGAGCAACTATTCCCGAGGTGTTCCATGACTTACAGTGGCATTTTTATTGTGAATAGTTATTGTGAGTTTGAAGATACTTTAAGGGAAGATACATTAAATAGAGCTGAAGAACTGAAAAGCGCAGTTCAGCCACACAGGCCCCTGTAGAGTATCAGCTGCTTCCTTGGGTGACCTTGTGGTTGATTGGTGTCTGTGACTCCCTGTTACTTCCCAGCACTGTGGCACACTGTCATAAAGCATATCACTAGCTTGGACAAAGCTCACATTCTAAGAATAACTTGTTCTTAATGTTTTTACTCCATTAACAGACTTGAAATCCATAAAGCCACCCCTTTTTTTTATCCTTCTCTCATACAATACATCCTGACAGCAGTTTCCCCTCCCTCTACTCCTCTCATTCCCCCCAATCCCCTCCCCTCTCCCCCAGTCCCAGTCCTCCTCTGTTTCCCTTCAGAAAAGAGCAGGCCTCCCAGGGATTTCAACAGAGCATAAAATAACAGATGCAGTAAGACGAGACACAAACCCTCATATCAAGGCTGAACATGGCAACCCAGGAGGAGGAAAAGGGTCTCAGGAGCAGGCAAAAGAGTCAGGAACAACCCTGTTTCCACCGTTAGGAGTCCCACAAGAAGAAGCAGCTACACAACCATAAAATATATGCAGAGGACCTAGCACAGATCCATGCAGGTTCTCCGATTGTCAATTTAGTCTCTGTGAGTCCCTATGAACCCGCCCTCTCATAGTGTGGGCCTCAAGTTAGACCAAGTTAGACCAGAGTGGTTGGCCACTCTCACAAGTTCTCCGCTTCCTTTACTTCAGCACATCTTTCAGGCAGGCCAAACTGAAGGTCAAAGATTTTGTGACTGGACTGGTATCCCAGTTCCACGACTGGAAGCCTTGCCTGGTTACGGAAGAAGGCTGGTTCAGGCTCCACATGCCCCTTTACTAGAATTCCTCCATAGGGTCACTGTCGTAGATTCCGTTCCAGGGAGTTTCCACTGCACTCGTTCTCCACATAGTCTCCCAAATGCTTCCCCCATGCCGGTCATCTTTCCCTGTCCTCTCTCCCTCCACACCCCTCCCGACTTGATCCCTCCTATTCCCATCTCCACCCGCCACAGCCCACCCACAAAGTCCAGGGACATCATGTGTCCCCCTTGAGCCCTTCTTTTTACTTAGCCTCTCTGGGTCTAAGTTGGGACTTTCTGTAAAGAATTTCAAATTTTAATTTTCCATGTTCTCTCTTTATTGTTACATCTAGATTGAACACCTTAACTTTGGAATACAATACCAGTTGGCCCTGGTGTTGGACTCTTGACATGGAAATAGATCTTTAACATCACCTTTAAATTGAAAATCAAAAAATGTGTTTTCTTTTAGGTGAAATTGAAGCCAAAGGCCTAATGGGACCATTTACAAAGGAGATCTATGGGCCAATATTGGAGCGGATTAAAGCAGAAGGCATTGTATTTAATACACAGAGCACAATCAAGCCATAAATGGGAATTCATTTTTTTAGGCATCAAAGCTGTCAATTTGTGTATGACAAACATGCTTATCAATTTGCTAAAGCATGAAGTTTTGTGTTTTGAGCATAACTCATTTAAAACATGAAGCATATGTTTTGAGTAAGTTAATGCAATGGTGTTTTTAAAACTCAAATCTCTATTTTAGTAAAACTTTTGGAGTAGAAGATGCCAGTCATTACAGAGACCTTTAATAAGCCTATTGTGTATTTTTGTGTATATAAAAGTGATGATGATCATAGTTTAACTTATTGTGCTTCTTTTATTTATAAGAACATATCAGCAAATGCAGTTCTACTATTTTTTTGCCAGAAAAAATTGCATGTAGTTATATTTTTGTATTTTTCAAATTGATTCTGCTAGACACCTTTTTATTTTAATTTTATTTTGCAGTACAATTCAGTTCTACATATCAGCCACGAATTCCCTTGTTCTCCCCCCTCCGGCCCCCCTCACCTTCCCCCCAGCCCACCCCCCATTCCCACCTCCTCCAGGGCAAAGCCTCCCCCGAGGACTGAGATCAACCTGGTAGACTCAGTCCAGGTAGGTCCAGTCCCCTCCTCCCAGACCGAGCCAAGCGACCCTGCATAGGTCCCAGGTTTCAAACAGCTAACTCATGCAATGAGCACAGGACCTGGTCCCACTGCTTGGGTGCCTCCCAAACAGATCAAGCCAATCAACTGTCTCACCCATTCAGAGGGCCTGATCCAGTTGGTGACCCCTTAGCCATTGGTTCATAGCTCATGTGTTTCCATTTGTTTGGCTATGTGTCCCTGTGCTTTATCCAACCTTGGTCTCAACAATTCTCGCTCATATAAACCCTCCTCATTCTCGCTAATTGGACTCCCAGAGCTCCACCCAGGGCCTCTGCTAGACACCTTTAGACTGACATATCTACAATTGCAAAAGTAATGTTTCATGCCTTTTGTAAAGTTATGATCTATTTAGTAAAATTTTTTTGAAAATTATTTTCTCTTGAATTTTTAGAAAACAGAATTGATACAATAAATTCACAGTCCTCATTATCCTTTTATTACAAGCAGAGAAAGTGTTTGAAAAACTCTAGCACCCTTTCACGATAAAAACAAAACCGAAAAATCCACCACAAAACACATAACAAACTAAGAATAGAAAGGGATGTCCTTATAAAAGATAGCTTTGAAAAACCCACAACTTGTATCATATTTAATGGCAAAATACTGATTGATTTTCACCTAACACCACAAGTAAGACAGGAATGTTGTCACTTGGCCACAGTGATTCAATCTGTTTTGAGGGATTAGGCCATGGCAATTAGGCAACAAAATAAGATTAAAAAAATCTATTTGAAAGGAAGAAAATGAACTCTATTTGCATAGAATCTCCAAGAACTGCATAGGAAATCCAAAGACATAGTGAAAAGAATACAAAAGAAAATATCTGAATTTATCAATTCGGAAAAACTGCAGAATCAGGAATAACTTACAGCATTTGCCTTTCTGTAAAGTAGGAATCAGTGAACCAAAAGTGGCTTTAGAAAAACAATGTCAACAGCATCAAAAAGGAAAAAAGTAATAAGATTGAGAGGTTAGAAGGGACACTCATATTTGTTCCATTGCCTTTTAAAAAGTGTGCTAAGACAATTCAGTGAAGAGTGCTGTGGGATGTTCTGTATGGCAAATGTGTTGCTGATTGGTCAATAAATAAATCACTGATTGGCCAGTGGCCAGGCAGGAAGTATAGGCGGGACAAGAAGGAGAATAAAGCTGGGAAGTGGAAGGCTGAGTCAGAGAGACACTGCCAGCCGCCATGATGAGAAATAGCATGTGAAGATGCCGGTAAGCCACGAGCCATGTGACAAGAAAGCCAAAGGCTATGGATTTGTTCCAGGTTAAGATACATCATATTTGACCAGCCAAGACCCCCTGAAAGGTCTCCGATGACACCAAGGCCCAGATGATCCAACATCCAGAATGGTTTGAAGGCAACTGGCTCAGACGATACACCCTCATGGACTATTCCATAATCCTAAAATTTTTCTTAGTGTCCCCATAAGATACAGCGCCCCACTCCAGCAGGAAGTAGTAAGAGAAGCTACGCCCAAATTCCCAAATTATATGTAATTTTATTTTGTTAAGGTTAAAACCTTCCTTTTTGAAAAAAAAATGGGGGAAGTGCTGTGGGATGTTCTGTATGGCAAATGTGTTGCTAATTGGTCAATAAATAAATCACTGATTGGCCAGTGGCCAGGCAGTAAGTATAGGTGGGACAAGAAGGAGAATAAAGCTGGGAAGTGGAAGGCTGAGTCAGAGAGACATTGCCAGCCGCCATGATGAGAAACAGCATGTGAAGATGCCGGTAAGCCACGAGCCATGTGGCAAGGTATAGATTAATGGAAATGGATTAATTTATGCTGTAAGAACAGTAAGAACAGTTAGCAAGAAGCCTGCCACAGCCATACAGTTTGTAACCAATATAAGTCTCTGTGTTTACTTGGTTGGGTCTGAGAGGCTGTGGGACTGGCGGGTGACAGAGATTTGTCCTGACTGTGGGCCAGGTGGGAAAACTCTAGCTACAGAAGAGAAATACCTGTTCATCAAATGATGATTGAAAACATGAATAACCAGAAACAATGAAGTTGGATCACTGCCTCATAGAAGATATAAGAACTGACTAAGAATGCATCTAAAAAATTCTAAAAAAGAGTTAGCACTGTAAAAATCTTTGAGTAAAACATAGTCATAAATCTTCATGGGTTTGAATTAGGCAATGGTTTATTAAGTAATTGAAGCAAAAATCACAAGCATCAGAAGAAAAAAAATAGACAAACTGGACAAAATAAAAATTAAGAACTTTGGAGTTTCCAAGGAAAGTGCTACAAAATAAAATTGCACACTTCCAAAGAACCCAGAGAATCAGATTTTTTTTGTAAATCATTTATTTAGGGAAGAATATGTAGCTAGAATATATAAAGAGCTGTTATAATTCAATATGAAAAAGATAACCCAATTTTAATAGTGTTCAGAAGTTTGGATTTGGCAGTTCCCTAAAGATATACAAAAGTTTAATAATAGTATGAAAAATTAAAACTACTTCTACAGTGAGATACTGCTTTATACCCATGAGAATGGCAGGAATAAAAAAGATAATGAATGTTAGTGTAGACACAAAGATGTTGAAAGGATTATTGAAGAATAATCGAGAACAATGGAGAAATCCTTATAAAAAACCTGTCCTTGGATATTAATAAGAACATTATTTGTAATATCTCACCAGTTAAAAAATGAATAAATGTGAAATATCCACCCAATGGACTATTGCTCAATAGTAAGAAATGAGGTACGTGTTACATATGATATGGATGAACACAAAGTATTCTGTGACAGAAAAGGCCACTTATTGTGTAATTTCATGTTGTGTCATTCAGAAAAACACATCTCTATATAGTGCTGGGAGAATTGAGAGGAAAACGGAATGACTACTAATAAACCTTTTAACAATGGCACAACTCTGAAGATACTGAAAACCAGGAACTTATACACTGGGAGTGTGTGATCTATGATATATACATATATGTATATATTTGTAGACACATATATGTATATGTGCAAATATATGCACATAATCTCCAACTTATAAAAAGATTATATTTCAAGTAAAATGGATTTGCTTCTTTACAGAAATAGTTTTGGCTTTAAAACTCTGTTAAGTACCCATCTGCCTTCAAGTGTTTTTCTTCTGGAATGTGAAACTAGTTCCTCCTTTGAGATCATCTAGTATTATGCATGGGTTATATGATAAGAAAATATCTGGTGCTATTTGGAAAGGGTCAGGGTGGGAAAAGCACGCGCGCACGCGCACACACACACACACACACACACACACACACACACACACACCCCCCTGCATTTTTACTGTGTAATGACTAATGTCTGTTAGCGATGATAGGAAAGGAACAACAATGAGCTTGAACAAAGTCAGGAGCAATCAGACTCACCTGGCTCAATATGAAGCTTTCCTTCAGAGCTTTCAAATAAAGGTAGCAGTGTGTGGTGTGTGTGTGTGTGTGTGTGTGTGTGTGTGTGTGTGTGTGTGTGTGTAGGGAGGTAAGGTATACATGAATAAGTTCTAAGCATAGAAGCATATTACTCTTCTAGGATCAGCAAGGCAAAAAGAGCCATAGACAATATGACTGTCCTAATAAAACTTTATTAGCAAAGTGTGATTGGTATACTTGACCCCCCAAATATGAACTTCTGATGTAATTATTCTGGTAAACTTAATCCTCATATCTTCCATATTTCCATCTTTTAGTCTCTTCCAGATCATACCAATGAAGTATCACTATTGCCAAGTTTTCCTTGTTCTAGACTCAGGAGACACTGTTAGTTCACTGGTTTTATAAATAGTACTGTTTCTTTCTGTAGAGGTAATGCCCAGGGTTGGTGTAAAGGCTAAAGAAGATGCCTATCACCTATCAAAGTAGATGCTCAAAAGCATAGATATTTTTCCCCTTTTCTTGCAATAACATTTTTCCTTCGAAATTTATGATTTTAGCTTTGAAATTTTATTTGGAAGGATGATGATTTATATTTGGAAGATGCTTCAAAGATTCATTCTACTCAAAAAGATGTACTTCCATATTTCATAAGGAGGAGTTTAAAATGGTTGTAGAGGTGAGTCCTCTAATTCTACAGATGAGAAAATGTGTCTCAGAGTTAAATGACTTACCTGGGGTGGTAAGACTTCATACTGAAACAATTCATTATCTGAAGACACCCAAAGTAGATGATACATTTCAGTAGCCATCTGTTTTACAAAGAATATCTTTGAAATTCAGTCTTTTTTTACACATGTATGTGATATGCATGCAAAGTGTATGCAAATTTACATGTGTGTAGACATGTTGCTCATGCATAGGTGTACACATGGGGGCCTGAGGTGGTTGTTGAGTGCCTTCTGTGATTTCTTGATTTCTCTCCTCCTAAGATGCTAAGTCTCTCACTTGAATCCAGAGCTCACTCATTCTTCTAGTCCAGCCAGCTAGCTTGCTCTGGGGTCTCCTGTTTCTGCCTTCCATGTGCTGGCATTACACATGGAACACCACCTGCCCAGAACATGACTTGAAAAGGCTTGGGAAATACTGGCTGTTTTTGCAACAATACATGTTAGTAGTTGAGAACCAATCAAATGCTGCCTTCTTCCTTCTCCTTCTCCTCTTCCTCTTTATAATCTTTTAGTCTCAGCAATCTTTCCTAATTTTTATTATTTAGCACAAAGGACAAAATACAGCAGTGAGTCCTAAATTGTTAGGTAATTAAGAGGCTTTGTCTCTACAATTTTAGTTATTGCTATAGTATGATAGCCTTCCAGTTTTGTTGATTGACAATGCATATGAAATTAACAGATCACACATAAACCTTGGAACTAGAAGAGCCTGGTGAGGTGGTATGGCCACTGCTCTCCTCTTTGAGTGACAGTTACTCTTGGCTATTGTCAAGCACAGCTAGTCAGGCATTTGACTCTAGTGTGATAATATCATTTCTCCTGAACCTGGTTCATGGTGAGGCTGGCATGTAGTGGGTAGCCATTCCAGCTTTGATCTGGAAGTTCCAACCCCCAATGAGGCTTCGGCAACTGTCATGCCTACAAGGTGGGGCCAAGGGAGGCACCTGGAGACCTGAGATCTGGATGGGCCAGCGCGCTCTCTGTTTCTGGACCCTTGATGGTGGAGGTTGACCGAGCAGAGCTCCAGAGAACACCGCTGGACTGTGATACACCTTCCCCATACCCCACGACCTACCTATCCCTTCATTTGTAAGTTACCCACTAAATAAATCTTCCTTTTAACTACGTGGAGTGGCCTTAATAATTTCACCAATACTGGCATAGGTAAAAACAGCTCCCTACAGAAACAGGACAGTCCCAATCAAGAAAAAAGTTACATCTTGTTGGGTTAGCAAATTGTTTGCAAAATGATTTATTCTCT